GTGCTCACAAACCCACTGCTTGATTACCTTTTCCAGGATTTTCCCAGGTATTAATGTCAAACTGGTTGGCCTGTAATTTCCTAGATCCACTTTTTCCCCTTTTTAAAGATTGGAACCACACTCTTTTCCAGTCCTCTGGCAGTTCCTCTGTGCTCCAGGAGCTCTCAAAGAGTTCATTCAGTGGTTCTGAGATCACATCTGCTAACTCCGTCAGTAAATCAGCATTCTGTGTAAATAAATCAGCATTGCACTGTAAAACGAGATCTTTGACAGGAGTTCTGTGTGGATGGGATGACCTGAGCATTGCAAGGAACAAGGCAGGTGCTGCTCTGTTATTAATTGGGGTTACAGCCCATCTTTCTACTCCAAAAGGGAACTCGAGATGGCCAATGTAACCATGGTGTGTGCTGTGGGGACCTCAGTGGCAAGGGCCAAGGGAACCTGCTCTCCCACGAGAGAGAAACCCGGAAGAGAATGAGTGACCGGTGGTAGTGGGTGCCCAGAAAGGCTCTTTGGCAGGTGTCCCACCTGGGTGCCTTTCTGAGGCATCCAGAGTCTTGGAGGCCATGGCCACCTCCTTAAATGGTATCTAGAAAGCCGTTGGCAGCCAGTGTGGATTTGTCTGTGTGGGCATAAATTGAAAGTGATTTTACATAATGGAACCTCGCAGGTCATATAAAATGGGGGACATAAAGGAAACACAAGAAGTTTTCAGAAGAGTCTCCAGATAGAAACAGTTTGACAGAACAACTGTCAGCACGGGAATGAAATCCAGCAGAAAGGGAGGACAAACCCCACAGGCTCCCAGTTTAGCAGCTGTAACACAGCATCCGCTTCTGACGGCAGTCAGACTCCAATATGAAAGTGTTTTTCACGCCAAGCAGGCCAAAACCTGGAACCCTGAAGAGAGGTTTAAGAATTGAAAAACAGCTCATTTGTTACAAGTATTGGGGCCTTCAGAGACCAAAGGCTGGTCTATTCCCAACTCGTGTATGCACAGTTCAATTTTAATGAGGACTTTCCAGGGTCAGAGGAAATAAACTCTTTTCTGCAGTGCCCTAAAGTAAAGGAAGCCACAGAGGAAGGGAGGGAAGGAAGGAAGGTGGGAAGGCCGGCAGGCAGGCCGGCCGGCCGGCCTTTGGGGACAATGACCACCCAGTGTTTCTTACAAGCGTGGAGGCAAGACCCCAACTGCTGCCGCAGCTGCACGATTAAGAAAATGCCTTCCTTCGTCTTCCTCCTAGTCCATTGGCGCTCACCAGAAGAAGATCAGCTCCAAGATGGCTGCGGTAAGAGGTGGTTTGCAGAGTTACGGACAGTATGTGAACTACAATAT